CTTTCACACAAGGTGCAGTTGGCCAAGCCGAGCCCATTGCTCTAATAAAAACCCCACGTTTCATTGTAAAGTTTGGAGATACAGGCACCTTTATGTTTGTAAGCGTGATGCTATGTGAAGAGTGGTCTTTGTTTAATGTAAAGTAGCTAGACCCTGACAGAGCAAAAGATGGAGAGGGACGTGTTTGTGTAACACAGCTACTTTGCATGACTGGAAGGATTGATGGAGTATACTTTATGGTCTATCCACAGTAGTCCATATATTGCGCGCTATCAGCCATTTCCTCACAATCAGCGTTGTTGCAAAATCCACTGCATGTGAACGATTCTCCTGCTCCAGCCGAACATTTCCATCATTCAAGTTTCTTGATCTGAGCCGATTTGACTGAGCTACGCTAGAACAGCAAACCTGAAAATTAATGAATCGCAGACCCTGCGAATGTCTCCGTCTTTCAAACTTTTGGACGCTCCCATTCAAAATTTTCAAATGAAGTGTGAGGTGTCTATTATGAAAAAGTTGATCAGCATGCTCGAGAGCACCCTTCTGACCAATTTTCAAGTTGGAGGTAGGCAACTTCGGGGCGGTGGGCCGTCCGCTCTTTTGATCCCATCATCCACCATTTGGATCGCCCCCGCATTTTAAATCTTCACAACGAAGTCTGCGACTTTTAAATGAATGAAGTTGATCAGCATGACCCAGCGAACCTTCTGACAAAGTCTCATGTTCGAGATGGGTAATCCCAAGGTAATACATACTATTTCCATAGATCATGAATCCGGCGCTGCCATGCTTTCCGATCTCCATAGTAAATCCCACATTGTACCCTCCCCTTCAATATTTTTAAATGAACATGAGGTCTTTTTTAACACAATATTGATCAGCATGTCCCAAAGCACCTTGTGTGAAAGTTTCAGGTTCGAGAGGGGCGATCTCAATATCCAAGTTTGAATGTACAGTGTGTACATGGATTTATACAAGAGGTGTCCGCCTATTTAATTTCCACTTCTTCCACTCACACTTTATTCCCTCTTCCTCCCATTCTCAACTGTTGGCCCATTCAAGTATACAACTAACACCTGCGAACGATTGTCCTGCTTCAATCCATCATGTCAATCCTACACTTGCCTTGATCCAACTGTCTTTGGTTGAATGGCGAGTTCATGGCGTGTACACAGCCTTCTTGTTACTCTTCTACAACAATCGAGTCTCTTGACACAACACACGCGCTTGGACCCCCCTCTGCCATGATCAAACGTAACAGCATTCATTCCAGCAGTTGCTATTCGCTCCATTGTCTCAAACAGCGTTCACAACCTTGTCATTCTACTACAACACACGCTCTTACACGTTCCTCTGCCACAACCAAACGTAACAGCACTTGCCCGTAGCAAGGTCTTTTGTTACCTGCAGCAACCTGCATTGTGACCTTTATAGCATGAAGCCATTGTGTAAAAGCAACTTTATTTACGTGTAACAACTTCCTTTGGTGCATACGGATTTCAATGGATGATGTCTTGTCAGCTATCAAGCACCCTGCAATACAAGCAATCCTCACCTGGTTGAGCTGCGATAGAAACGACCAAGAAAGAGATAGACCAACAACCGGATGGGAGAGCAAGCATACCGGCGGCGATCACATGGCTTTTTTCAACCAACATGTTGGATTTGATGGATGGACGCGATCAAGTGCAGTGATGAGATATCCTGGAATGTTGCTGTGGTTGCTTGTCGCGTTGTCAGCAGGAAGGATGGATCATGTCACGTGGAAACGGCTAAAGATGATGATGGATTGGATGGGATTGATGTGATGTCTTATACCTTTGACGAAAGAAGGTGTCTTACAGCCATGGATGGTATTGGAAATACTCTCGTCAACGCATGCAGCAGCTATTTTACAATCATGGGTGAAGGATGGTTATGACGGCAGCAGCTAAGAACGCAATGACACAATTATCCCTGTTTACTCTATGTGATTCACCCGTACCTTATTCAATGTCCAATGCTGCTCCTATATCATATTTACTTTATAAACACCCACACACCATGATGTCCCATTTTTCGACTTTTATTGAATGTAAATTGTATTTAACATAATGATTAAAGTATCATACGATCAGCTTACACGTACAAGATGTGGATCACTTTCATGGAAACATAAGTAGGATGAACATCAAATCCTCTCGGATCAAGAAAGTTGAGGGATGGGAATGTTGAGATGGAGCAGGGTAATCGTCCACACGCATTGGATTGGGCAACAGTTGGATATGGGAGGTAAAGGCTATTAGCTCGCCGTTGATGTAGCTGCAAATCAAGTAGGATGTGCTGATATGATCGCTGTGGTGAAGAATGTTCCAGGGAAGCTGATTAAAAGGTAGTTTCTTATTGTAAATATGGATGGCCAAGTGTTGCAGATTCCTTCAAAGATGGATTACTACGAGATTGTAATGCGATTGCGTACACGTGTAGAGTAAGCTTATTGAAAGATCGATACTCCATTAAACCATTCAACGAGAAGTCAACGTCTACGAGCGAAGCAAGTCTTATCCTTATTAAAAAGGATGACATGGCTTATGTGCAATCAAATGTTGTCAGTTGGATGGACTCTTAGACATCGTCTCTAGTATTGTTGGCGCTAGTTACTACGCTAAAGTCATCGATCCTGTATCCCACTTTTTCCTCTTGTGATGCTATACCCATTCCATGAATGTGTCTTTTATTTCAAAGTAAGATCCTTCAACATGCTATCCAAGCAAACTAGCGAGCTATACACAATACAATAATGTCCGCATGAAAAAAAGACGCGTGTGTGTGACACAAGCGCAATACACAACTTCTTGCACAACAATGGAATCCCGAACGAACAAACGCAAACGAGTCCCTGACCCTGCTGATCAAGAATGGGTCAAACCTGCCAATGTCCCCAAAGAGTTACGAGATTGCGTTGCCAGCCTTGCATCGACAGTGAATACCGTGAGTTGTTGTTTCTTTTCAATGTTGTTCCTTTGCAAAGTTGAACTCAATGAGGGACGCACGCACCCACCTTTTACGTAGCTCCAACAATCAGTCAATGTACTCAAGGATGCGACTGCCGATTCCGGACGTTTACGGCGTGTAGTGGCATTTGAAAAGGTGAAGAGAGGATATGAGTGTATACAATGTTATTATTAACATACCCTCTTTACGTTATCTAGAAATACGAGGTTGTCTCTGAAAATGAGATCCGTGATGCTCGTGCCGATCTTGAAGCCACGATACGACCCAAAGCTGAAGAGATTCTTGCCGAGATAAGGAAACAGTTGAAAGCAATGGCGCAGGAAGAAGAGGAACTACAAGCAAAGGTAAGTAAATAGTGAGTCCATGGAGGATGCGAATGATTGATGTGTGCGTGTGTGTGTTTAGGTGGATCAACAGGCTGAACAAGTAGAACAAATGCGCCAACAACAACAACAACAACAGGTATGCATGGATGAGAATATCATCGGGTGTATATATTAAAGCCATGTTTGTAGGCATCCACATCTCCACCACCGCCGCCGCCACCACCAGCATCATCAGCGACTCCAGATAAAAGACCTCAATTGACCCAGCGTTTGGAACAACTCAAGCTTCATGTCAAGAATGAAAAGCAGCGATTGGACCAATTAACGAAGGAGGCAGCAGAAAAGGAGAAGCGATCGCATTATTACAAGACACATATGGCAACAAAGGAAATGAAAGAAAAAGGTACTTTTTTTACATTTATCCCATGTTCAATCCATGACAGTTCATTCTTTCTTTCCAGTCTCATCCACGCCATCATCATCTCAAGCACCTTCCACTGTATCAAGACCATCCATGACACCCGAGGTAATATATACCCTTCACCCTACTTCAAAGCCAACCCAATCCAACCATGATGATGCTAGGAATCACGCATGTTCAAACGGTTCCAACTATTATGCACAACATTACGACCTGAGGACAAGGAAATGGAACAAATGCTTAAAAGTTTTACAGAAGAGAATGGCTAATTATAACGTTTGATAATAACACGTGCATCGGTGTCGTGGATAAAGTTGTGTTTGGAGAAAAGTTGCGAGTTGAGGAAGTATTCAATGTTGTATATTTTCATGAGACGGGCCTAAAATAAGCGGTGTGAGTGGAAAAGGGAAGGGATACATACACACACACATGGACACACATACCCTGCTTTCGAGATCCTCTACATCCACCTTAATCTCTGAAGGAACCGCCCGGTGGCGAATTTGATGCAATCGAGACTTTTCACGGCATATAGATTCCAAGGTAGAAAGTAACAATTCGTCTCGGTCTTGGGCACTTGTAATGTATTGGCGGAAACGCTACATTAAGAATAAAGATATAGGTGAGTTTGCTATTTGCATAGGTTACAGTGGCCATTGTTTACCTTTCTCAGTGTATTCATCATGCTGAATTTCTGTGCGCTGATGAAGCTTTCCAATGCCACCTTGATAGCCATATCGACATCATCTGATCGTACGTATTCTCGAAGGTGCATTTTGGCGTGTGCTTCAGCTAATCGGACCATGGATTCCAAGTGACGTACGGTGATGGGGATACTACCGCTGACGAGGGACTCGCGACGTAATTCGGAATACAGGCGTGAGAGCTTATCTTCGTCGAGTTGATGCAATTTGGGATGGATCTTTTCACGAGCATACATGATGTACTTGCGAAGAATGTCTTGAGGAATAAGATCAGCGTCTTCTTCGGCGGGCAAGGCATGATCATTGTTGGCGTCAAATTGTGGATGGCTGCGAATATGGCTGCTGATCACATTTTCGGCAAGAATATGGTCTTGTTCAGGTTCAACCGTGTCCTTGACAACACAAAGGACATCGAAACGAGATAAAATGGGTTCGGTCAATTCGACGTTTTGTGCAAACGGTATGGATGCATTGTATCGACCACGAATAGGATTGGCCGCTGCAATCACTGAACACCGAGCCTGCAGCGTTGTGACAATACCAGCTTTGGATATAGAAATCGATTGTTGTTCCATGGCTTCGTGAATGGATGTTCTATCCACACACATGAGGGGTTAATATCATCATCTCCCTCTTCCCCTTTCTTTGGATATGCCCATTTTACCTGTCAGCGTCATTCATCTTGTCAAACTCATCAATCAAACAAACACCACGATCAGCCAATACAAGCGCACCACCTTCAAGTGTCCATTCCCGAGTAATTGGATCCTTGTGCACAGAGGCTGTTAAACCGACAGCACTGGCACCTTGGCCGGTTGTGAATACTGCTCGATGGGCTGTCTTTTCGATATACTTTAGGAATTGCGACTTGGCGGTACCAGGATCACCAAGCATAAGGATATTGACATCACCACGAATTTGATGCTTGCCCTGAATATTCTTGGGAACACCACTAAAGAGCGACAAGGCAATGGCTCGTTTGATATCATCGTGTCCATAGATGGATGGCGCAATGCTCTTCATGATCTACATACCATGTTGCCAATAAGAATACCATTCTCTTTTACAACTCGTTCTTTTTGAATCATACCTTGCGACCAATCCGCTTATCCTTGGCCATGTTTTGAATCATCTTTTTATCATCGTCGGTCAATCGATAGGCAGCAAACATGTCCTCCTTTTTGTTGATATAGTTGGCTTCAATGATGGTGGCGAATACAGGGAAACCATTCTTGGTACTCAATGACGCATCAAAGTTGTTTCTGTAAACACCGATCACTTCCTATATGACAAAGGTGAGTCCTCTTGTATAATAAATCCACATGCCACGTCCCCAATACTTACAATTTCTTCACCAGGCTTGGCAGCATCAATAAGATCCCACAAGCAAATAACTTCACGATGGCGAGGAAGACGACCAGGGGGAACGGTACCAGGGCTTTCTTGGATGGTGAGCTTTTGATAGTTGCGGTAGACTGTTTGCTCCATGTTGACGTTGAAAGGACCTTTGCTTTGACAGCTGGGACAAGTACGAATCTTGATTTCGCTGTGAATATCTTGATAAAAGGGGCCGAGCAATTCGTTACATTTGCCGCAGTTGTATTTGACCCATTTGAGCTGAGGAAAGACACCGGTACGACGTGTAACAACACCATTGACACGAACAAGGCAATTGAGTTGGCTCTGACGCAAGTCGCGAAGGGTGTTGACAGTAGGCAAATCGGTGATGCGGATATGGATTTCACGATGAATGCGTTCGTATTCAGGATATTGCATCAAGGTCACCTCAAGAGCCACTTCATCGAGAATCTTGAACATGGCAATGGGAGCATTGGCCAAAAAGTAGGCAAGCACAGGTTTGCTTTCCACCAATTGCTCATAGTTGATTTCAAACGATTCCTTGTTGCCTATATTCTATCCATTAATCCAATGATTCGTTTTTCTCTCCCATCATGTACTTACGTTCACCCATGTCACGAATACGTTCACCATAAACTGAAGTACCATGTTCATCCACATAGGTTTGCAAAAAGTTTTTGAATTCACGCTTGACGGCTCGTCGAGGTGCTTCTTGGCTGACCCATTCACTGATACTGGCAGTCTTGACATTACGCAAATCCTCCAAGGACATTTCAGGCTAGAAAAAGAATTTTTTGACATCAGTGAAACATGTTGTATAACACACACACACAACATACCACAGCACCATCCTCCATATCATCCAATGGATCCACGTCATAATTATGTCTGCGTCGAGGACGAGAAGTGATGATAGGCATGCCGGCTTCTTCTTCATCATCAAGGCCATCCATAAAGGCATTGGCAAGTCGGCCTTCACGTCGACGAATCTCCACATCACGGCGTCGTAGTTGAGCATCCACTGCGTTGCGTGTAGCAAGATCCAAGGGATCATAGTCTTCTTCATCAAGGCCTCGTTCTTCATATCGATCCAATTGTGGGTTGACCTGATAATCTCTATGACAACAATCAATCCAACTTTGCCACCCCTTTTTTATATGTATCGTCTTTACCTTTCCATGTCAGAGCCAAAGAGATCTTCACCTCCATCGGATTCAATGGCTTCTTCATCGTCAATCACGTCGTCAGCATCGTTACGGTATTCGATTTCAGAAAAGAAGGGCGCTGGTGACGAGGGGAGCACTTCAGAGGGAAGAGGATCGGATGGCAAAGGTGATCCAGGTGCTGCTGCTGGAGAGGCATGGTCGTCGTCTGCACCACCCTGAAGACTGTCTCTTCTTCTTTTACGATCGGAACTTGACTATACACGAGAGCACAATGAGCATGCGTGGGGGGCATTATGACCTTTCAGAGACCAATCAACCTACCATTTGGTATGTGCGCGTACACGCGAAAAAGTGTGTTAAGAAAGAGAAAAAACAACTTTAGCGCGTTCCTCGCGCCGCCGCCCTGAATCCTCTCCTCTCCTCAATCCGACAAGTAGAAAATGAGCAGTCAACTGTAGCTTTTTTTTTATTTGCCTTTTTTCTTTTTACAACATGGAAATCCTTTATCCAAAGTCGGTCGTTGATGTCGGTTAAGAGCATCTTGCCTTGCGAATCCTTTTTGACAGTGCTGACAAATATAAGCTTTGATACCCGTATGAAGCCGTGCATGCCTATTACGATCATGTTGCCTTGCAAACTGCTTTGGACAAAAGGCACATGCAAAAGGCCGTTCCAACGTATGTGTACGTTTATGCGATTTTAAATTGTATGGCCGAGTAAAACTCTTGTTGCATCCTTCCACATCACATGTAAACATACGACGCCGGCATTCAGTTTTGGTGACTTTGGTGGTGGGAGGAGGAGGAGGAGGTCGACGTTGTTGTTCCTTTTGGTTGATTGTTGTCGATGATGATGATTTCTTGGGCTTTGGAAAATAAAGATTGACCATATTGGATGCATAAGGTGGAACATGCTTGATACGTCGACCACCATTTTTTCTTTTAGGAGAATCATGTTGGGTGGTATCTTCAAGTGAGGAGGGAAAGGAGTGGGTGGTAGGGGGGCATATGACGTTATGGGTGGTGATGGTGCCATCATCATGGTCATCTTCGGGACAGTCAACGGGCCGATCAGGTTGTAAGAAATTGTTACATGTCAAGGAAAGGGCATAGGGAGAAGAAGGAAATGACGGGGTAGGTGATAAAGATGCATGGGACATGTTGCTGGTAGTAGTGGATGATTGTGCATCTTCTAATATAGGCAATGTGACAGGTGGGACATAGGGACCATAATATGATGGATCATTGTTATCCATGGTAGTGGTGGTAGTAGAAGTAGCAGTGGAAGTGAAGGCTTGTTGTTGGTGGTGATGCATATGAGAAAATTGATGCGGATCATTTTCATGACCGGCGATCGGGGAAGATGTAAATGTATCTTGGGAGAATGATGATAGTAGACAGCTCAAATCAAACAAAGGGTCATCATACATGGTGGTGGTAGTGGCACTGCTGTAAGGCATAGTAATAGTAGTAGTAATAGTAGTAGTGGAGGGTACTTGTTGCGTTTGATTCATATACAAAAAGAAGAGCAAGAAATAAAAACAGGTGATGTGGTAGTTGTCCTTTATTTGTTTTATCCAATACATTGTCTCGCGCGAAGTGCTATGTCCACCAAGGTGGATCGCGCGAAATACGTTTTTGGAGATTGAGAGAGGGGGGCGCAAAAGTAAGCCAATGTTGAACCATTTTGTATCACCATCGAGTCAACTGGGGAGAAAGAGAGAAAACAAAAGCAAACATACAAAGGAGGAGAAGAGTAGAAATACAACATCTTTTTATTATTCTATTCTCTTTTGATCAATTCGTTCAGCTAATATCTCATTACAACGAGGTCCTGCTCCTCCATGGCTGTTGTTGTTGTTTCGACATCGTAATTGTTCATCGATTAACCAGTTCCAGTATTCATTTTCAAGTATTCGACGATCCATAGCATTGAGTAATTGAAACGCTGTTAAAACTTCATAGCGTAAGGTACCCAGGCGTTCACGGGTATACTTGAGTTCTGCACCCATCAGTTGATGTCGCGCGCTAAACCACGTGTGTTTCCACCCCACCGAATTGCCACCTCGCTCAGCTTGGAATGACTTGTACAACCTAAGTGTAACCCATCCATCGATCCAGTTAATGGGATTCTTGCATTGACCAACCATCATCTCGTTCACCACATTTACTTACCTTGGATTAACATGCTCAAGGGTGATGTTGCCTTGCGCTAGACCCTCTTCCAAATCCCGTAAAAAGACGGCTCGCCATACAATATGGGGTGGTTGCTGTTGTTGTTGGTGGTGGTGATGTTCACTCACCATCGTATCATTTTGTAACCCTTGATCATGTCTTGGCGAACGCCATGAAAAAAGATACCCAAACACCAAAAAGATCACAATAGCAATGATAGAATGAATGGGCGAAACAGACCACGGTGTTTGATCTCGTTCCTTTGGCAATCTCGTTGCTGCTGATGTTGTTGCAACAGGCGTGGTGGTGGAGATGCCTTCATGAAGCTTTTCCTTGGTTGCCAATTTGCCAGAACCAATCAGTCGTACGTCCGATTGAAGAATGGGAATCAAGGCGTCAATAGTATCATTCATGCCTTTCATGGCTGCTCGGCTCACCATCCCTAATGGTAATAATACATATCAATCAATCCACCACCACTACAACTATAGCTCATCTACCCTAGTTACCTTTGACCATGATGCTCTTCAGCCACTTAATGCCGATATGACATGTTAATTGGCAACTGTGGGGTGACACGTGGGTGATGCAATATTTTATGCACGGCTCAAATGCATCCGCATAAGGTAAACTCGGTGTCTTGGTGATACTGAGGATTGTATACGATCTATGTATGACACAAAAGATGAGGCTGTGCGCATAAAAAATAAGAGCTAGAGATTTACCGTGAGTCATCCTCGGAAAGAACACGTTGAGATTCAATCACTTCTGTATCTCTTGATTTCACTAAAAAGGGACGAGGCATCACGTGAGACAAAGAAAATAGTAAAAACATGCACCTTTTTCTTACCCATTGGATTATTCAAGGGCATCACATAGGTTAATGTTCGCTCCATGACATGATCGCTATTTGATGTCCATGCCGAGATGGTAGGATCTACATGTACAAAGATCAGCTTTTCGGGTCATACTGGGATGGATGATGATCGCGTTCTTCTTACCGCTATTTTGTTTGGCGGCATTCAATTTGAACCATAATCCATGTTTGCCGGCTGCTTGTCCACTTTGCTTTTCTGAAAACATGTATTGGTACAATGACTTGGCACTTGTAGGGAGGGTAATCTTTGCAATCAGCTTGTCCAAATGATCGGTGCATTCACATGTGACGGGTCCTTCTGGAAGCGGTTTATTATTATCGGCGGCATGTTTGTTGATGGATTGCTTATGACCACCACCACCAGGACCTGGTGAAGATGCTGTAGAGGGTGGTGTTGAAGCTGCTTCCATGGCTGCTGTCAATGCATCCGCAGCTGCAGATAAGCGGTTTGTTGATGATGATGATGCCGTTTCTCGTGTTGCTGTTGCTGTTGTTGTATCTTGTTCATCATCACCTATAGGTTTTTGTTGTTCAGCACAAGGCGATGCGGGACCTGAAGAAGATCGATAAGGTCGACGTTGTTGACTTGGTGAATGTGGATAGGCTTGAACCGTGAGTGGCGTAACAGCGGCATGAATAGCACTGGCAGGTGTCACATGGCTGATAGGGCGTCTACCTTTGTTCCTACCGGATACAATGCTACGTAGCACATCAAACAGCTCTTGTGTGCTCTCTCCCTATTATGTATATGAGCACGCATGGTCGTACTACTACAACACCCATCCTTGAATAAAGCTCCTTACCTCTGATGACTTTGAATTCTCCACAGCGATCCGTAGTCTTTCACCCACAATTTCGGCATGCTCTAACCAAAGACCAAAACAAAAAGTCTTTGGTGGTTGCGACTTTGTTTCCACATACATCAACATGCCATGAGATGAACTTGATAATGCACGTTCCAATCGGATGGCTTTGATATTTTCCAAAGGAATCACAATCTAAAAAGAAGAATGAAGTCAACATCGTGAGAGAAGCAAGAACACCAACACATGACTCACAGTATTAACGCATGTCATCAACGTGCAGCTGTAAAACCATAATCTGTTTTGTGTCACGTATCCTCGGCCACTGTAACCATATTCGCTGTCATAAATGCCATGATCGTCCTCGTTCGTGGTATTAGCGTTTGCTGTGGGTTGTCGGTACAAGGATGCCGAGAAGGCTATAACATCATCATCATCATGTATGAGAAAAGTGTAATCTCCTCCTATATACACAATAACATGCCCCCATTATAATTACCTTCAATCACCGTTTCATCAGTAGGTACACTTTGAAAGATTCTTCGTAATTCCCGTTGTCTTGATGCCAACTCGCCTGTATACCCATTCAATCGCACCACAGGGGCCTCCATTTCAACATGCGATGGCCAAACAACAAGCATACCAGGATCATTTGTGAATGTATCGCCCCCATTGAAATAGACATCGGTACCACTACTGGTACTGGATAATGCACTTAGACCCGATTTGATCCATGGCATACCCCATGATGATGTTGAAGCGGGTGAGCCGAGTTCATTGTTGTTAGTGTTGGCATTAGTTGTTGTAATAGGTGTATTGGAAGAGGAGCGTGCTGGTATTTCAGGTGATGGTTGTTGTTGTTGTGGATTGTTGGATTCGGCGTGTGGTAAAGAGGATGACGATGATGAGGCGGGTGCTGGTGGTAGTGAAGATGAAGGTGGTAATGAAGGTGCATTTGCTAACATGAGTGATACAAGCTTGGCAGTGGTGGTGGATGTCGGTATAGAAACGGGTTCTCGTTGTGAGGATGACGAAAGTGCCGATAACAAGGGTGAATTGGACATGATTGTCGTACGTGTTGAACAATCTTCTAATCGAATATCAAGCATGGATCGAGATATAAGCAAAGGTCCTGGACTCTCATCTTCTACTTGTGGTGGTGGTGGTGTCGATGCCTTGTGGTCTTCAATAGCACGCATCCATTGTTGCATTTCATCTTCCGTCTCCGCTTGTACCATGATTGTACTAATGATGATGATGATGGTAACTTTTAATCTCTCTCTCTCTCGTCAGCTGATTTCTCATGCATGCTCTTACCTATCACCATTTCCCACTTCAAAACAAAAGCGACGGTCCATGTCGGGGATAACATGACAATCACAATCCGCCAACTTTATCTTGTCATTGATGGCAATACATCCTTTGACTCGGTTGATTGTTGATACAGTGCATGAACCAAAATATCCATCACGTACAAAAAACCATCGTCGCACCCAAGAATAACGTGCTGGTTTTCCAATGATGATGCGTGTGTACAAGTATCCTTCCTTGCATTCATCAAGCCATGCCCCACCATTACCAACAATAGAGCTTGTTCGACGCAAGGGGCTACTGGATAATTGGGGTCGTGGGCTGGGACTACTGCTGCTGGTGATGGGATTTGTTTCTGTTGTATTATCCATGGGTGGTGGTGGTGGTGGTGCAGCATCCGTTAAATCACCATTGCTGGGTGTTGAATAATTGCGTAATGATCGTTGTGGTCGAACACGCCGTATCATCATGTGTTCCAATAGCTGTGTTGCTTTGCTGATTTTCTCCAGCTGATACTCGCTTGTCGCTTTACTCTATATAAAATTGGATATCAGCTCATCACACACACTCCGCTTGCATAAAAGTTTGAGACCCATACCTCATCCAACCATTGTTGCCATCCAGGCAGCATCGATCGTGATTGTGTACATGATTGTGTTGCTTGATCAATCTCTTCGACTTGAGCAGCCATCGCGCATGAAAAACATTCCACCAGCACATGTTCAAGATTGGCTTTGAAGGCAATGATCCGAAGAAAGTAATCCTTGGACATTTTAAGGAACGACTTGCGTACATCATAAGCTTGAAACGCATCCTCTCTGAGTGCACTCGCTTCCTTGGTCTTGCTCAAGGCGCCATAACGCTGCATCTGGGCTTCGTATTTATCCGACATGCGTTCGTATGTCTTGCGGATTTCCTAAAAATAGACATATAGATATCATCACTCCCCATCCATACGTTTGATGATGTGTGCGCGAGGGGTGGGGAGCCAAGTATGGGGCTCTCAACATACGCCCAGTCCCCTTTCACAAACCCAACTAACCTTAAAATCCTTCAATTCATGCTTCATAAACTGTTGTAATGGATGTAGCAAATTATCTTCCAGATCCGATACCTAAATGAATTGCCTTATCAGTACACGTAATGCATACATCTTTTCTCTTTTCCCTTTTACCATCTTGGTCTTGAAAGCAAGGTGGCATTGCAGAATGCTTGCAAAAGTATTAATGATCATGCCTGCTACCTGTGGGTCTTTTTGAAACATTAACAAAACTGCCTCTCTTTCTTTCTCTCTTGCATTAATTGGACACGTTACCAATCAACGACCCATCCAGATTTTGTGGCAGAATACGTTTGCAGAGGTTGCTTGTCTGTGCGTTGTATTCTACATATACACATGTAGATGCATACGCATTAGAAAGAGATTGCATTGTTGTATGTGTGTGTGTGTCACAAAAGGATACTTTACTGATGACGGCGTCAATGAATTGTTTCAGGGCTTTGGTAAAACCATCCACCCATTTTTCAAATTGGTCGATTTGTTCTTCAAGATGAATGATGTTGGATTTCCATACTGGCGAGTCGAGAATGACATCGTGTATTGTCCATATGTTCGTTGGTGATGAAACAAGCGTCGGCGGAAATGAGGTAGAGGAAGAGGATTCCATCATTGTATGTGCGTGTGTGTGTGTGAATGTTGGTTTTTAGTAATAATGGATCAAGACAAATGAAACATAAGAGAAAAGAAAGAGGGTTCAAAAGATTGTAGGGGGGAGGGAAGGGTGAAGGGAAAGAAAAAAGGTTGGGGGATCAAATGTCGATGGGTATATAGCATCATTGTGACTTGTCCCGGAACTCGTCCCGCACAACTGTGTGGTGTGCGTTGCATGTTGTGCTACACATGATATGATGGCGCATGATGATGGTGGTGTTTTTAAGTTGGTGTGTTTATTGTGGTGCTTTCTTGTGGTCTACTACACTGATCCAACAATCTCATCCGCTTTTTGCAAAGCCTGCATAGGAATAACGTCAGCAATGACACGCTTAAAAGTTTTAAAGTAAAACAATTCCCTACCTCGATCATCTTTTTGCATTCTTTTCGTCGTTGCTGCGTAAACTCAGATTCCTGCAACAAATCATCCAACACGTCGGCCTTGTATAACTCTGCCAACAACTCTCCTTGTAATCCCTCCTTTGCGCGGCTGACAAGATTCAACATGACTGCCTTGGGAACCATGTCAATCATTGTTCGCTTGACGATATTGTAATAGGATTGAATCAAGAGCTCTATATACCAAAAAATTAGTAAATGGAATACGGTTGCCATGGTAATCAATCCACATACTGATCACTTCAGTCTCCATGAATTCACGTTCGGAGAGGGATCCAGTGGCCTTAAGAGATGTGGGTGGCTATTGAAATGAAAAATGAGCTTTTATCCACGCATTCGATGTGTGTGTGTGGTTACTTACAGCTTCCATCATGCCTGCAGCCTTTTTCGTCTTTTTAGGTCCAGAAAAGAAACTTCCAAAGAAAGAACCACCATCAGGGTCAGGGCTATTGGTGGCACTTGTTTGCAAGGCGGGCATTTGCTTTGAAGACTTGAGTGCGTCATTAGGGTGCTGTTGATGTTGTGAAGGCTGATTCTTGGGAGCCAATTGATCGTTCACCATGGCAATAGCTTGATGACCGTTCAAAAAGTCAGGATGTGCGGTATTGATATAACAAGCTTCCATGCTAATACCATATAAATCAGCATCCTATTCATCGATCACCTTTTCCTAAACCACACTTACGCAACGAGATCCGTTACAAGCTTGTTGGTGGGTAACATTTGCTTTTTAAAATAGGCAAGAACGACTTGATAAAACTTGTCTTTGAGGGTAGGGAATCGCTTAAAGAACTAGTGATAGGACAACATGGTGAACCACAAAGAACTCCAAATCACCTTCATCATCATCATCCATACCTGCTTGTTCAATAGCTGTCCAAGGATTCTCACAAGCTCATCATAGACCATATTAATGCAGCGAATACTTGGGTCTTCCAATCGTTTGATTTGCTTCTTGATGATCACTTCAAAGGCAGTTGTTGCAATAAACAAGGCTGGCGATGATCCCTGGCATAGAGTCCGTTAGTTAACAAGAATCATGAGAGAGAGAGAGAATAGCTTACAGAGGAGTTGTATAAAATGGTACGAATATCAGCATCCTTGATTTGGTCCAAAGGATCAATCGACTTGACACCATTGGCGTATAACTCATGGAACACAAAGCTGATACGTGCACCTCCCGAAAGTTCAAAGCTTGAAAGGTCGTTCGAGTTACCATCAATGATTGTTCTGAATTCGGTACAAAACTCGGTGATAATGTTGAGCACCAGGTTGGCTTGATGAGAAGAGCTATCACCAAGAGGATCGCCCAGAGTTGCCAATTCGGCTTGATACTTTGCCAAGGCGGATTGAATCTTGGCTTTGATTTCAGGAAGGGTGTTTCGAATATGATGCATCAAGATCTATATATAGGTCTATGATCAGTAAAACTTGACCCATCATCATGATCATCATCTTCATCCTTGCTTACCATGTTGAGCTTACGAGCCAAAAAGGGGGTACCGCAATACTGGGCTTTGCTCTTGTATGAAGGATGGTTCTCGAAATACTCTCGTTCAGCATCCAATGCCTTGGTGATCGACTTTTTGCTCTCAATATCCCGCTGGCCACGGTTGACAACAGGCACGTAACCTAGGATCATTTTAATGAATACCCATGCAATGTTTTTAAGGGTGGCAAGCCAACTTACCCAAACGCAAAGGAATGACACGACCCGCCAGGATATCAATAACATCAGTGCCTTGGTCCATCAAATCAATCTTGGTCAACACGCCAATGGTTCGAAGACCTTCTGGATCCACCTCACGTGCCAACTTTAAGCCATCCGAGTTGGCCAAATCACTGTTTGCTGCGGTGACTGCAAGGATAATGGCATTGGGCTTGGTGATATACTTGAGGATCATCTCGCGGATTTGTTTCTCAATGTCCTTGGGTTGATCACCAACAGGGACCTATTACCACTCAATGAGATGGGATTCCTTCATATGCATATATGTACATGGACCTACCTTTGTCAAACCAGGAAGATCCACCAAGGTCAAAGTCAAGACGTTGGGAGAAAAGATTCTGAGATTGATGGGCTGTGGTGAAATACCTACATATCAATCATGTGAATTTAATGTCATGTCTCTTACACACCCCTCTCTCAATGACCCTCTTCCCTACTGCTGATAGTTACCCAAATTCTTTCCAGTCTTCAATTCAGTATCCTTGACGATTTCATCTCTGATCTTGTCGAAATCATAAAACTTTTGGCCTGGCAAGTGAAGGAACTCGCCCCATTCATCGTGATTTTCTTCAGAGTCACCGCCGCCATGGTTGTTGGTCGTAGTGCCGTTCGCTTTACCCGAGGAGGTGGAGGGTCGATTGATAAGTTGTAGCACCTAGTTCGTTGTCAATAGATACATACAACCCCAAATGAGGCAACAGCAACAACTTACCAAAGGACGACGAGTGACAATACCAGTGCCTCGAGGAAGGAAATCTCGGCCGACAATATTCTCGAGTACAGAACTTTTACCACTGGATTGTGAACCAATCACGGCAATCTGTGGTAAATCAACGGGGTTGTGGACGCCAACGGTGGAAAAGGCATCTTGCAGCTTGTTCACTACGCGTTTCATCCCAGCCCATGGGTTATTATAAAACACTCAACAATGCTCAGAGATGGCCATGGCAATACCTGTCTTGATCAGATGCGTGTCCATTGCTTTTGTAACGGCGGCGGATTGGAAAGAGTGAAAGGGCGAGGAAAAAGGGGTGGAGAGTGTTGGTCAGGAAAGGACTAGAAAAGGAACGCCGAGGCTGCCATGCAAAATCGACCGCTGAGTTGGTTTAGATAAACCACGAGTTCTCAAAAGATAAAGTCCTACAATGCATACATTCATTGCTTCTAGCTATAAATGATGGTATACTTTTTTCCTTTACTTGTCAGAGCTTGTAGTATGATTGCATAGTAGTACATGGACCATTTCGATCGCAAGGTCTTTTGTTACAACAGCGACAATCTAGAACATCAAAAATGTCAAACACAACAATACACCCTCGCTGCTGGTATCACTCACCATCTACATACTTGACATTCATTGGTTACTGTTATATGCTACTACAATGATCCTAGGATAGAGATATATATATATTTGTACTTTAGCGATCAATGCTTGTTATAAAATGGCTTTCTAATAACACACCAAATGTTGATATGATTCCATTATGTATGTAAGCTGCCAAATGGGCGATGCCACATTTAAGCTTTATGCAATGGCACTTGCAGGAGGATGGCGGTTGTTGACCACCAACGCTATATACCAAATCTCCGACCAATGATTGACAACCTACTTCAATCTATGAAATTACTTTCTTTTGACCTTCCCAAATGCCTCGTTTTACCTTTCATTGAATTGCTCATGTCATCCGCTACATTATAATACTGCTTTCGTGTCGATTGGACGACCTTCCTTTTTGGGCAAGTGACCTCTTTGTGGTGGATTCCGCTATCGAGAAAACAAGAACAAAGCGCGGATGGTTTAGTGGTATAATATCCGCCTGCCACGCGGATGACCCGGGTTCGATTCCCGGTCCGCGCATCTAGCTTGCCTACAACAGCCGAATTGGCTGGTATTCCTTTTTGTTTTTTCAAATTGTCGTAGGTCATGTGACCACGTGACCTAGCTTTTGCTCGTTC